GACTCCTTTATCTTGACAAATGAGATTATTAAACAATTTTACAAATATATCTGAATTTATATACCTATTTAGTAAGATTCAAAAACAATTAGCTATCATGTTTCTTTGAGATAATTTTGAAAATTCATTTTATCATTAGACAAATTGGTTAAATTTTGACAATATTTTTACTGATATATATGATAAATATGTTTGAAAGACATTTAAAGAAACTGATGCTGAAATATTGTCAAAATTTTTAAGATCTAAAAAGGTTGATTCACATCTTGATTTGATATTAAAGTTGGATTAATTCTAATCATATAAGGATATAATCTATAGTATAAGGGTCATTTATACAATAATTATAATTTATTCTGTAATATTTGATTCAAGCTCTAAATGAAGTAAATCTGCATAAAATTAACTAGTATTTAATACTAATTGTTAATGAATTAGTAACACTTTATAGCAGTATGACTTTAAATCAAACCTATAACACTAAAAAGAAAAAGAATTTACACAGCATTAGTATTTGTTTTTATTTGATATTCTTGCTATAAAAAAATTTGTGATCATATTTAAACATTAGTTTCTTATTACAAATATGAAAAAAAGGCAAATTATGAAAATCGTTAATACAATTTTGCTAGGATGAATAATATAGATGAATGATTCATAGCTTAAAATTTGACAAAATATTAACAAAATGTAATTGTATAGTGAAGATGCAATTCAGATGCAGTCAGAAAGCATTTTGTTAAAATTACCAGAATTAGATAGTTCTTTTATTATATTTTAACCCAATTAGATTCACTATTATTAACTTAATGCATTGCCTTTTTTAGGCATTACAGGTAGATAGTTAAGTAGCTTTAAATAGATATGAAAGTATTATCATTAGATTCTTTAAGAACAATTCAAAAAATGATAAATCAATTCTAAATACCTGTTAATATAGGTTAAATTCTAAAAAAAAATCAATTATAGCAAAGGTTTTTCTAATTTTACTATAGACTAGTGGTAAATATTCTTTGTAATATATACTATTATATTACTTTAGGATTACCTTTCAACTGTAGATAAAAAGATTCTTAACAATTTTGTAAGAATATGCTTACTATTAGTAAACTAAATTGTGAAAACTACTTTTATGAATAAAGCACATCAAAGACTAGTTGAGGTTGTAAAATTAATTGAAAAATATTATGACAAAATAAAGTAATACTAAATCTTTATTTTTCTCTTTACCTATATGAATATGCATATAATTTCAGATCAGTTTACGCCTTTTGGTATTTTTCATTTAAATGTATAAATGGTATGTTAAATAAATTAGAAATTTTACTTTAAATAATAGGTTAATTTTTAGTTGATTTCAAAAAGGCAAATAATAATTTAAATTTTATCAGATTCTTTGTCAAATAGTCATTGACAGATTGAATCAGAAATAATATATCAATTAATAAATAATAATCAAGTAAATAATGTTATAAGTTCTAGAGTGAAGATGAAAGGTCTCTATTATCAATAGAGCAATTGACCAATCATAATGAAATCACATGGATGACATAGTATGACAATCTTTTAATTCAGAATTCTGAAAATACAGAGGATTTATATAATTTTGCAGATCTTCTAAATACTGATAATAATCTTAATTATACGAATTAAACGAAGTCTAGAAATATTTAGTATTATACTTATTTTTAATATTCTAATTTTTATTATTATTTTATTTATATTTTATATTTTTATTATTTTATATATACTTATTTTACTTATATTTTATTTACCAAATTAGTTAGTTTATAGTATAGTAAATAGTTAGCTATAATAAAAGAAATTTTGTATAAATAGATAGACTTTTGCTTATGTTGTAAATTAACTCTTTTGCAGATTTATAAATTCTTTTGCAAATACGAGTTTTAATATTAATAAAGGAATCAATTAAAACTTATATCTTTCTGCTCTTCATGTCTAATGCTCTAAATAGTTCAGTTTAGTTTAAATTATAGACTAATCGAAAACTGAACTGAAAATTTTAGTTTGATTTAGTTCAGATTATAAATCTTAAAATGCTAATCTGAAACTGAACTGAACTGTAAACTGATAAAAATCTGAACTGAACTGAAAATTTTAGATTAATTTGAAAGTTCAGTTTAATATAAAGATGGTCATCATAATTAAAAAAATAGCGCAATTGAGTTGCAACTTGTGGCGCAATTAAATTTCCTTATGACACAATTAAGTTGCAATTCAATTAAAATTTGAAAATAATTATGGGGACCATCTTTAGTTTGATATATTTGAATCTCAAAGGAAATCTAATTTGCAATTCTCTTAAGAGTTTTGCAATTATTTTGTAATTCTCTTAGAGTTTCACAAGTAATTTGTAATTCTCTTAGAGTTTCACAAGTAATTTGTAATTCTCTTAGAGTTTCACAATTACTTTGCGATTTCCTTAGAGTTTTGCAAGTAATTTACGATTCTCTTAGAGTTTCACAATTACTTTATGATTTCCTTAGAGATTCGCAAATAATTTGCGATTCTCTTAGAATTTCATAATTACTTTGTGATTCCCTTGAAGATTTGCAAGTAATTTGCGATTCTCTTAGAGTTTCACAATTACTTTGCAATTCCTTTAGAATTTCATAAGTAATTTACAATTCTCTTAGAGTTTCGCATTACTTTATGATTTCCCTTAGAGTTTTATAAGTAATTTGCGATTCTTTTAGAGTTTTGCAAGTAATTTACGATTGAGTCAGTAATCTCTAAAAAATATTATTCAATTGATTTTTTTTAAAATGTTTTCTTAATTGCAAATATTAAATAATATGTATGTTAATTAATGCTCTTCAAAGAATTTTTCTTCTCAATTATCTTCTATAAGCTAAAGTTATTTTTTAGAAAAAAAAATAAAGATAAATGTCAAAATTTTTTATAAAAAAATAAATAAAACTTTTCTAAATTACCTTCTTTAAAAGAAAATCAGAAGAGAAATGTAAAGTTGAAAGAAAAGTATTTTTAACTTATAAAATATTATATTCTCTTTTATTTTTCTTGTTATAGCATCTATAGATATTAATAAGATTCACTTTATTTAAATAGCAAGAAAATATAATAAGTTTATTTATTATTCTAAAATTGTATTTTAATAACTGGTATTTAGATGAGCATTTAAGCGAGAATATATATATTGTATAATATATATAATAAAATATAGTTTTTCTTTTCTCAATTAACTTAAGGGAGTTTATTTATAAATCAATCTGATTTCATCTGATATTCTTGATAATCTTTATATCTTTAAATCCAAGTTTTAAAAACTAATAAACGTATTTATAAATAAATTAAATATTACAAAACTAATAAATGCATATTAATAATCAATTAAAATATTTCTATAGAAAAATAACAATTAAACTTTATCAAAAGTTCTAGTAAAAATCTAGCTAAAAAAATAACTTTTTAATAATATTACAAGGTCAAATATAAAAAAGTATTCGTGTTTAATAACATTGATAGGCTAAAATGGTTTTTTTTATGAATATTTCATTAGATGAATAAAAGGAAAAGTATAATTACTATCAAATGACGCATTCAATACATACTTTGCTAATATGTCCTATAATACTTTCTGAAAATTGAATTGATGAATCCAAAAGTTCTGTAATTAATAATATTAAATTATCTTAAGGGTTAAATCTAAATAGAACAATCTCAAAATGATAAAACTCCTAGTAGTTCAGGTAAATTTGACACAAAGAAGGGAAAAAAAAGAAATTATCACTAATTCAGTTATTAGAAGTATATTTGGAATACTTTATTAGTAATTATGTATATTGACATTATAAAAGCAAGTATATTATATATATAATAATTAATTAAATATTATTTTATATATCACATTCAGTGTATAAAATTCATGTGCATAATGTGCACATGTGCACATTAAATTTTTGTATGCATATATTATACAGCATAAAATGTATACAAATAATTACTAAAAATAGTAAAAATAGATAAATTATATATAAAAATGGATAAATTATTTATAAAAATGGAAATACTATGTAATACATACATTAATTTTCTATTTTTAGTATAACTTATGCATATGACTTTTGGTTTAAATTTTATACACTGATCGCATTAATGCATTTAACAGTATTAAAATGATTAAATAGTATAAATTCAGCTAATAGTAAATCAAAATCAAGTTTTGAATATTATATTCTACAAAAAAAATTAGTAGAAAGAAAGCAAAAGTCAAATTTATAACAAAGTTTATTATTTCCTTCAAATAATAATAACTTGTATAAACATGATCAACACATACAATGCAATTATTCAATTCAAAAAATCGTATAATATCAAGAATTCTATTTTATAGAACGTCAATATTCACTGAAGTAATAATTTAAATCGACTCAAATAAGTAGGATCAATTTTATCAGAAAACTCTATTTAAATCTGAAACTAAGATATTAATCTAGACTCATCATCAAATCAATGATTTTTCCTTTTTAAATTATAAATATATATAATCTGAGATTCGATATTCAATTAATATTTATAGTACAGCGAATTTTTTTAGAATGTAATAAAAAAATATATTTGCTAAAAAACACGCAAAATGCTTTTTGGTTATTATTTTTTATTATTTTATAGTAGCTAATTTGATACATAAGGAAAAGAAAAAAAAATTCCAAAATATGAATTACATAATTTATTCCTTAACTTCATGTTCAATAAAAAATCCCACCACATTCCTTCTTTGCTTTTATCACTAGTTTTGATCAGCAATTATTTTGCAAAGAATTTTCACATCTGCACTAGCTATATAGGTTAAAAATTTGAAGTGTAAACAATATGATAAATCACATTACTCTGTTATTTTTCATAGCAAAAAAGTAATAATTAGTTATAATTAAGTACAATTTGTATAGCTCGATTGAATCATATTATAAATAATAAATATAATTAATTATTATACACAACATATTAGTTTATTAAGAATGATTAGCGGTAATTACCTATTTTCATAACTGACCGCTAATTAATTTAATAACCAATCATTTAATACTCTAATCTAGAATTGAATAAGACTACTGTACATAATAAAATTTATAAGTCACAAAATACGGGCAAATTATTTATGCAGTATTTTGCTTTTATTGATAGTTCAAAAGATCTAGCACAGAGCGGACAAGTTCTTCTAAAAATTCTGTAAAATTTGTTTTAACTATATATAAAATTATATCATTTCCTTTTACATCACATTTCTTATTGCTAGGTTCTATTATACTTGGTAGAATGTAATGAATGTGAAGAGAACCAAAATATTTAAAAAATTATGCAGTTTTTCAATACTCTTATTATTTTTTTTGATATAATTTTATAAAATCTGTTAATATAAAATCATTATTTCAACTTAAATTACTTGCTAACATCTATCGAAAAAAACTCCCTTTTCTTGTAACTATGCTTCTTTAAATAAATTCTCTTTGATAATGACTTTTAAAATATCTATTTCATCTCTAAATTTTCTTTTGTACTTCAACTTTAATCTGATTATTCCAGTACTAGTAATATTCAATCTACTGAAAAACTCTTCAACTTTATATTCAATGTATAAATAAGTGCTATCAAATTAATTTTTGACTTATTTTACATTAATTCTTATTAGTCTAGAGCATATCGAAGGACTATATATTTTTTATTATTTATCAAATACTATTTTTCACTAGTAAATCTGACATTATTACATGTAGTTGTATAATACAGATCAAAATGTTACGAAACTACAACTTTTTGATGAAAAGTTGTAAATAGATACCCTTAATGTGATATATGAATAAATTGCTTATAAAAATAATTATTAAGAATTTTCTTGTATAATGTGATAATGCGCAATTATAATCTGTAACCTTAAAATTTTTCACATAGATCAAATAATAAATCATTAAAAATTTTATGTAATGTATTCTAACATTTATTATTCACTTTTACACTGCTAATCAAAAGTCATATTACAGTAAAATTTTTGGTGTTTATACATATGTAGCTCTAGACTTAACAATAGTTTCTATTACCTAGTATTTTATACAAAATTAATTCACAATTAAAAATAATGTATCTGCAGTTGAGAAACAGATTATCAAGCATTCTTTTTATAGATACCTGCTGAAACCTCCTCAAAATAATTTTGTCATACCCTTTTCTATATTTTTAATATAGTTTTGACAGTTTCAGCTTTCGTTATATCAAATGGGTTTTATCGTATCCTTTATTATGATTTTAATATAGTTTTGTCTAAGTTTTGACTGTTATTAAGGAGTTACATCCCTTATCTATAATTTTTTTATAAGCAGAATAAGTATTTTCGTATGTGAAAATATCTTTAACTAGGATATTCAGAAGTATTTTTAAGCTACTGAAAAACATTTCAATAATATTAACAAAAGTCATTTTAAGTATATCTTGAACAATTTTCTTATCATTCTTTTAGAATGAACTATCTGAAATTTCAGATTATTCTAAAATTTTCAGATTGAATTTTTTGCAATCTGAAACTAAACTAAAATTGATCTAAATTGAAAAATTTGGATTAATCTAAATTGTTTAAAGTTTTATTCATATTTTTATATAGTCTGATGTAATCTTTACAAATTATTTATAATTGAGTTTATTATCTAAATTCTTTAATTAAATTATTCGTAATCTTATCTTTCAAGTTTTTATACTTGATAGATTCATTTAAGTTTAAATACATAGAATTAGTAAAGTTAAGAGTTAGGCAGATCTTAATATCTTGACCGTAGTAAATTATAATTAGTAACTTTGAGTAGAGACTTGATAATGTGATCAACCTGAGTTAAAGAATTTCATGATGACACTATTTATTTAATATTCATTAGTAAGTTTTTAGAGGTCCAGATTTACATGAGAATTCTTATTTTTCATAATTAGTAAAGATACATATAGATCTTTTTCTACTTTAGCAAATCTTTAATTAGAAATTTTAATAGAAATCTAAAGGATTTTTAATTTCAATTCAAAGATCTTTAAGAATTGTAAAATCAGAATTTTATTATTAAATACAAACTTAAATTTATATATAATCTACTAATTATTAATAAAATTACTAACTTTATAATCAAAATTTACTCTATTATTATTTATAAAATTAAATATATTAGTTTAAATAAATTAATAATGACTTACGAATTCTTATTATTACCTAAAATTTGAATTATACTATTAAATTTAATATATAAATTATAAATTCTATTGTTCATATGTATTATTATTATTATTTTAATTTTCTTGATGATGGGTTAATTTTTACTAGAAAAAATTAATATATATTGTTAATTTAAAGTTAATAAATGAATAATTATAATTGAAAATATTTACAAAATTTGAAATATTTAATTTAATAATATAAAATATTTATTAATTAAATTAGGAGTTATCATTATTATTATAAAATAAATGAAATTATTATTGATTAATAATATTATTTTTATATTGTTTATTAGCTTCATCATCATTCTCTTGATCATTATTAAAATTATCATTACTTTTACTAGTATAATTATTTAAACTACTCAATTTTTTTTACACAATATATTTAGTAAAACTAGATGCTATTTCTTTAAAATTACGCATATAATCTTATAATCAATATTATTAGTATTAATCTGCTTAACCATATATATTATATATATTATAATTACATCTTTTATATATCCAATATATATTAAATCATTTATAAAGAGCATTATCATTAATAGAAATTTGTGAGTGTCTTGTATTAAAACAACTTCGCAAACTGCTAATATAAAAATAGTATCTATTATGATAGTTCATTTTTTTCTCACTTTTTTTGATTATTTTAACATATAATAGACTTTTATTATCATCAGCTTAAAATAAGCATTTAAAAGTTTTTTTTGTTTTATCAGATTTTTTAAATGATGTAATATCTTTAATCCCTATAGAAGTATTAATCTAAATTAAATAATTTTATTAAATATATCAAATATTATAGCTCAAATATCTTTATCTTTATCACATCTGTAACTTTTAATTATATTATACTAATAAATATGACTTATATTATTAATTTAAGTTTAATAACTATTAAAATAAAAAAATACAACTTATCAAAAGACTAACATGTCTTAAATAAAAGTAAATCTACTATGCATCAAGCTGTTCAAGATATTCAGACTTTTCTTACTTAAGTATAATTTTGAAATTTTTTTTAAACTTTGAATTATTAAAATATAAACCAAGAAGAGAAAGTTAAACTTTACACATCTTTGATAATAAATTTTTATAATGAAAATAATTAAATTTTAATATAAAGTGATATTTAATAATAATTAGATTTACCTTCTAATAAGAGCCTTCAAGAGTAATTAATTGGTTAACTTTTTCTGAAAGAATATCTGATTTTTCAATAATTTCTTTTTTAAACGTACTTTATAATGCTTTTATTTTATATATTATTTTATATAATTCTTTATTTTAATTTATACTTCTTCTTAACCCTTCAATTATTTGCAAGTAAAATGTTATCTATAGTATTAACTAAAAAATAATCAGATTTATATTATATAATTAATTAATATATAAATTTATTAATAATATCTAAAATCTTTTCTACTGATCTTAGTATATTTATATTATCTTCTTTAATATTATTATAAATAATATTATCAGTAGATTATGGTATACGTAAAGATTCATAAGATTTTTTAATATCAATTACTGCTACTTTTAGTTGTGATAGTTGTAAACCAGATACTTTTACTTTAATACTTAATTCTTTTTGTTCTCATTATATTGATAATACTATTTTAACAGATTTCGCTATATAATAATAAATTACTAATAGTATTGATAATCACTTTAATTTTTAATGAGATTAAATACTTAAAAGTTAAATTCACTTTTGCTAGCTAAATGAGTGGCAATTTTATCTGCTTTATTTGTTGCTGTTTAGAATCAGTTATATTGTCAGCAGAGTTTTTGCATTCTAAAATTTTTCATTTCATTATACATAAATAAATTAAAAATTAAATAACTAAAAAGTTTTAAATTTTTAAAAATATAAATGAAAAATAATTTAACTTGATTTATTTTAAAGAAATTTTCAAATAGCAGTTTAATCTTGATATTGATAATTTAAATAGCAGCAACACAACCACCATCATCAAAACCATCATCAGCAGTAACGGAAAATTTGGGAGAATTAACCAAAAAAATTGCAGAATACATTGAAGAAATTATGCCGCCTCAATTTTTACAATCAATGTTAATCATACCCAAAGATCAATTGCATAAATATAAGCT